GCTAACAGCGAGCACAGGACGCGGTGACGTGCAGCGCGACGCGCACGACGACGGCGAGCACGCAGGGCCAATGCCCTGCGTGTAGGCAGCATCAGGAAATCATGCAATCTGTCTGACGGCCATGTCAGGGGCTTCAGAAGCCTTCAGAGGCCTTCAGATTGCTTCAAATTGCTCCAGAGCATCAGCCCTCATGACCTCGGTTTTTTTCGATGCTAACTCGTCAGACAGGATCCTCAGACTGTTCAGACAGTCTGTCAGACCTTCCAGCTCGTCAGCCAGATCAGCCAGGGCGTATAAATCGACTCAATAATATTCTATTGATCACTACTACTGTACAGAATAGCACTAGCTAATGTTATGTACCATATGCTTGTGCGAGCTACCGTCTGCCCAGTGGATGCGTGCGGCAGGCTCACTCCCAGTCATAATGTTCGTATCCGTGTCCTAGCTCCTTCTCGGGCCGGGTGCGGCACGCTCATCCTTCACGGGCCTATGCATGTCGGGCTGGGGCATGCCAGGCTGTTGCTCGGTGGGTACTTGCACGCTGCGCTGGGTACCTAGTGGGCTGTTGCTTGTCAGTCCTGTTCATTGAGTTGGGTCGTACCAGGCTTGGGCACGTCGTCCACTTGCATCGGTGGGCAGCTAACCAGCCGTCATCGTACCAGCGCGCGTCAGTTCGCAATGTGTATCCATAGGGACCGGCGTTGGGTACATGCGCAGAGGCCGCCACCGTTGTGGTCACGCAGAGCTGCCACGCGATACCGCCCGCGCGTGTTCTGCGATGACAGTGTGCTTTGAGCCGCCCGTTCGTCGTGCTGTCCTGTTCTTTGGGCTGGGTCGTTGTATTGATGTGCGGCGGAGGGGCCCTTGCCGTACCGGAGTGCGTCGATACGTACCGCATTGTGTCCATGTGCACAGACTTGCTGGCTATTCCCGCGCTCGGCGTGTTGATGCTCGACCTGCATGTGTGCCGTGCTTCCACTGATAAGCTGACACTACTTGACATCTGGGGCTTGCCTTCGCTGAGCTTGCGCTCGTTGCGCACGCATGCACGCCGGAACGGTGTCCATCGGGCCCGTCCTTGGCTTACAGGGGACGTCTGCGGGTCGATGAGGTCGTCTGCGGGTCGATGGGGTCGTCTGCGGGTCGAGGTGGCCGGTGCGTGTGCACTCACTTGGGATGCCAGCCTGGCCAGCCACGGTCTCCTTCCCTCCCGAAAGGCCTTGATCACGCTGTCAGGAAGCGGTACGTGCGGCGTAACGCGCCTCTCTGAGACTTTTCTCAGCCCCTCTGTGCCGTTTTTGTCGCCAAGGACGCGAGAGCGGCCGATGACGGTTCGAAACCAACCACCTGCTTCAGATGCTCTGGCTGATGATGGGTGGGCGTTCCGAGTGGGTCAGCACGAGGGATCAGGGCGGGAGAGGAGGAAGATGGACGCACAGAACAAGGAGAGAGCGGATGCAGGGACAGAAAAGAAGAGAGCGGGGGCGACTCGACCGCACAGGTGGATCCCGCCCTCCAAGCACCGGCGGTCGGGCAGTTTTGGGGCGCGGCAGGCCGATGCGCGCGCAACGTCTCTTGCGAATGGGCCCGCATGGGTGTCCTGGAGGTTGGCTGCAGGGGCGCAGCGGTGAGGCAGGGGAGGGGCTGAAGCTGAGAGCGACTCGGACTTCGTGACTCACGAGAGCAAGTGCACGTGCCTCAGGCGCTTAGCACTTCTCGCGCAAGTGCGGCCTCCACGTCGACGTCGACTCCAGTACTGCACGCAAATTACGACGGAGATGCGAAGACAACATGGAGCGAGGGGAGGCGAGTTACGGCAGGGATAGCACTTACAGGTGAGTGCGACGCACGCCCACTTCCGCCTCTCCTGCCTGCTCGCCCGCCCCTCTTACTCGCCTGCTCACTCACCCACTCGCCCGAGGCTACGCTCGCCTGCCCACCCGCCAACGCTGCGTCTCGCTCACGCTCCCTTTCGCCCGCACGTTCTCCCTAGCCCACAATCTCACACGCCCGCTGGCCTGCCCACCCGTTCGCCCACGCTCCTGCTCACCCGCTTACCCGTAGACCCGTAACCCCGCCTTCACCCGCACCTCACGAAACTCGTACCAGCTCAGGTGAGTCTGTACCCGGGCGGGTCATGGGTGCAGGTCGAGCTCAGGCATGGGTATGCCCGTGCTCGGCCCAGTAGCACTAAGTACCTCCACTGACCGGTGACCGCCCAAGTTCGTCCAACTCTCACTGCACTCGTCTGCCAACGTCGGCATCGAGAACAACGATGTGACCCTCTTCTTTAGGTTATCGGGCACGGGCAAGACGACGCTCTCCGCCGACCCGCGCCGGAAGCTGACTGGCCATGACGAGCACTTCTAGTCGGACGACAGTGCGTTCAACATCGAGGGCGAGTACTACGCGAAGTGCGTCAACCTTCCCGCAGAAAAGGAGCCCGACATCTACGACGTGGCCCGCTTTGGGAGCATCCTCGAGCACGTCGTGTACAACCCGATCTCGCGCTGCCCGACTACGACAACGTCAGCATTACGAAGAACACGCGCTGCGCGTACCCGGTCGAGTTCATCCCGAACACGCGGATCCAGTGCATAGCCAACCGCCAGCCGAGCAACACCATCATGCTCACCTGCGATGCGTTCGGTGCCCTGCGCCCGTGAGCAAACTCCATTCCTCCCGAAACGACTTCCCATACTGTAGTGCGCTCGACGCTCCAAGGATGATCTGAACGAAGGTGCGTACGGGTACCAACAACCGTCTTACACTGCTCACAAATGGTTCGTCTCACAGGCTCTACCGACGACTACGTGCATGCCCGTACAATACCTCCTGCCGTGCGGTGCCTGACGGTTAACCACGACGCTGCCCACCACATCTCGACGAGCACTGTGTGAACGGAAACGTTCGCGGCCAGGGCGAAGGTGGTAGCCGACGAAGGACGATCGGCGGGTCCCGCCGGCCAGGGCGAGTAGGAGACCAGACGAGGCAAGCGGGATGGCAGACAAATCGGCGGACGGCGCGAGAGTGAGTGGATGGGGTGGGCAAGATGGTTTACGGGGCAGATGAGATGGCAGACAGGTCGAGAGAGGGTACACGGGGCGGGCGAGTCGACCGCCTACGACACGGGCAAATGACTTAGACGAGACGGCAGACAGCGCGGGCGAGGCAGCAGATGGTGCGAGGGTGAGAATATATGGTGTCACTGATGAGCCCGTGTTGACCTCGACTATCTGCTTCGGCGTTGGTACCCACTATGTGCTTTCCAATATGTACAATGTTCTTGAGCTGTCAATATACGAGCAATAATATTGTGACTACTGTGATTATTGAATAGACAGTGTCTTAGATGGGACAGTCCTATAACCTTGTTGGCTCATTGAACTTTCTGACGAGTCTGGACTACTCTGAGGATTCTGAACTATCTGATGCTCTGGTCACTCTGAGGGGTCTCCGTCAGCCTCTCAGATGCTCAGAAATTGCACAGTTTGCTGATGCACGGCCGACGAACAAGCGGCGTGAATGTCCAGTGCACAGACGCGGTCGACGAACGCGCACACAGGTAAGCGGAAGGGAGGCCAAGGAGGCACACAATCGGGTGGGCGGGCGTGTACACAACCGGGCGGGACCACAACCGGGCGGGACCACAACTGGGCGGCGACGCACGCACGGCAACCACGAGCGCGCAGGGCAAATGCCCAGCACGCAAGCGCGGTCGACGAACGAGCCGCGCGCGCGAGCGACACACAGGAGACGGCGACGGTGGACAGGGTGTGTACAACACACGCCGACTGCGAGCGCGTAGGGCCAGTGCCCCGCATGCAAACGCAGCCGACGAGCATGTCGCAGGTAGTGAATGGGGGGCGAACGGACGAGGACGAGCGGGCGGGAGGCCGGGAGGCGTAGTAGTAGTGCAATGTATATTAGTGTAGTAGCATTATAATCGACGGCAGTTTACAGCAGGTTATAGCAGATTACGGACCTGCCCCCAGCTGCCCAGACCTGCCCGCAGACTAAGACGCCTGCTCTCGGCAGGTTGGGGCAGGTTATGCGTTAAGGCCGTGTTTCAATTGCCTGCCCCCAGTCAACCGAGAGCTGCCCGTAGTGTAGTCGTTGACAGCAGCTGTCAAGACCTTTTCCGGGCAGGTGTCAGCTTAGTTCGGGCAGGTCCGGTTTTCACTGTGCGTGAAGCGCGACTCACCATCGGGGAAAGGCGGCGGGGCGATCACAGTCCCGGCCCGCTGCGGTGCGGGGACGCGGCCTGTCGCCTGCACAAAGTTTCAACTTGAATTTCAAGCTCAAGTCTGCCTAAGTGACAGTCTGCCCGCGGATGACCATGTTGACCTCGGCCAGCTACATCTCAGAATATTGTGCTATACATCGCCGACTTCAAGTTGATCCATGAAACAAGTCACTGGCACATTGACAGCAGTGACCGAGGCGTATATTGCGGTGCACGACCCAACCGACTCGGAGTGCTACCAAGATGTGGGACGAATCCGTACTAAAGGAGGACAGCAGTTATAATCATCCACGGTTCGTTACCCCTACCCTCACTTTGTATCATCGACCAAACCCAGGTCATCAACGATCGTGTCTAGGATCACCTGCGGCTTGACGAGCGTTTTGACTTCAAGGCGTCCTCTCGATCCGCTGCGGTTGTCTCTCTCCGTGCGACGAAGCCCTAGCGTCAAGGCACGTATGACGGGGATTCCGACTCTGTCTTGACGCTTCCGCCGAGGTGCGTGTTCGTCGACCATCACTTCTGGTCGGAAGGGCTTCTTCTGTTCCTCTACGAACACCTCGTACTCGCTCCCAGCCACGTCTTCTCCAACCATCCTACGCATCTGCATGGCGGCCTTCACGATGATCTCGAAGGCTCCCCGTAGGTCGTTCTTGTCCCAAGATGCTACTCGAGCGACCGTCAAGATTGTTGTTGCATCCTCCAAGAGACGTTTCACATGCCGCGTCTCTTCGTCTTTGACTGCTGTCGAGCTGGACGTGGCGTACTTGCGAGTTAAGGTATGCCAGCGGCCGGCGACAGCTTGTGGCTCTGCGATTACCATAAGCAGGGTCCTTGACGCAATGGACAGAGTATCGGGCTCACCTGATCGAAGGATACGGTCATAGATGGAGCCGATGAATCGGTTGGCACTGCTACTAGACGGAGTCCAGGAAGATATGACCTCGGCAACATATGTCGTGACGGTGACCTGCAGACCCATCTCCAAGGTGATACGGTCATCCTTGTTAAAGTTACAAGTTCTCAGTCGCGTCCTCGTGGTACTCGACTCGATTGCTACTGTACCTGTTAAAGTTACAAGTTCTAATACTACAGTTTCAGCATCTTCGGACTAGAAATACAGTAGGGAATGAGCTTACCTCAGTCGCGTCCTCGTGGTACTCGACTGAGGTAGCTGGTGTCTACGCGCGCCCGTTACAGTCCGTTCGTCCATCACGTGTCCGTGTCGTCACAAGCGCCGCGTCACGGTCCCTCCTCAACCACATTATTCAGTGATACCTACCCGATACTAACGGTACACCCGGGGTGCATTTCGCCCGTTGCAAACGGTGGGCCGGAGGCCGCCCGGAGGAACACGCCGCACGCTGCAGGCGTAATGGCCGGAGACCAGCCCTCTTGTTCATAGCGTTGTGACCGGTCGGTAGGCATGTAGGTCTGAAACGGCACAGCCGCAGTACGGTTTGACTTAATTATAGGCCATACGGGACGGCCGACACATCTTTCGTGCGATACCAAACGACACGGCCGGTAGGATGCATCATGTTCCTGTGGCGGGGCGGCCGGCTGGCTCCCAGGTCATGGTGACGTCACGGTCGGGATTCTAGCCCTATGCCAACAACGGGCTGGGCGCCGCTTATGGCATATTGCAGGCTGTGCTTCTAACGAGAGGGCCGGTTACCTTTGTGTACCACACCTGGCGTGCCGGCCGTTGTCCAACACCAACAAGCAGGCATGGTGCTAGGTTATTTCGTCCTGCCTATAACGAGCGTTATAAATGGTCCGGCCGGAAGTCTAACCATGCTGGTTTCATACAGGCGGGCTGTACAATGGGTCGGAGATCGCATTGCCCAACCACCGCTGGTGACGGTCCGGCCGGCTCAACTCAGGTCACCCAATGGCCCTGCGTTCAGGGCGAGACCTACCGTCAATATATATAATGTTTACGCTCATGTCGGTCCGGCCGGACATTACACGCCCAAAAGTCTTCCAGGGGAGGGGTTTCAGAGTCCCCTTGGTGAAGATGCCTGCCGAGGACACCAACGGTCCGGCCGGAGACCACTCATCTCAGATCATCTGCTCCAGGACTGGTAGCAGTATGCAGACCAAAAGCACACAGGCGTATATTTCGTGTGGCTGTGTTGTAAACCGACCATTAGCGATGTTAGGCTGCGCACCTCAGACTTGTCGGGTGTGGATGCACGCCGTCCGGCCGGCGAACATATCATTCCCGTCATCGCCTGCGGGTCATGTGAGGTAGCCCAGCGCAGTCAACATGCTCATTTGGCTGGTGATCCCGTACAATTTCAGTCACCCAGCACAATGGGTGGCTCGGGATTGGGCTCTTCACCTCCAACTGGCCGGCCGAGCAGAGTCACATACCGGCCGGCGAAGAACTATCTGCTGTCATCGCCTGCGCGTAATGTGAGCAAGCCTAGTCTAGTCAAAATGTTCCGTCAGCTCGTATGTACATGCAATTACAATGACACTAACCAATAGCTCGCTCGGGACTCAGCTCCTCACCTCCAACTCGCCGGCCGAGGGTACACATCTTCCGGCCGGCGAACAACTATCTGCTGTCATCGCCTGCGCGTGATGTGAGCAAGCCCGGTCTGGTCAGAATGTTCCGTCAGCTCGTATGTACATGCAATTACAATGACACTAACCAATAGCTCGCTCGGGACTCAGCTCCTCACCTCCAACTCGCCGGCCGAGCAGAGACACATACCGGCCGGCGAACAACTATCTGCTGTCATCGCCTGCGCGTAATGTGAGCAAGCCTAGTCTGGTCAAAATGTTCCGTCAGCTCGTATGTACATGCAATTACAATGACACTACACAGTAGCTCGCTCGGGACTCAGCTCCTCACCTCCAACTCGCCGGCCGAGGGTACACATCTTCCGGCCGGCGAACAACTATCTGCTGTCATCGCCTGCGCGTAATGTGAGCAAGCCCGGTCTAGTCAAAATGTTCCGTCAGCTCGTATGTACATGCAATTACAATGACACTAAACAGTAGCTCGCTCGGGACTCAGCTCCCCACCTCCAACTCGCCGGCCGAGGGTACACATCTTCCGGCCGGCGGACACATATCTGTTGTGATCGCCTGCAGGCGATGGCGGATTCCCCACCCCCAGCTCACGGGCCGAGGGTATACATCTTGTGGCCGGCGAGCACCTGTCTGCTGTGATTGTCTGCAGGCGATGCCAGGTCACCAACCCTGGCGTGTGACACGGCATTTATTCGGGCACACTACTCTATACTGGATATACATGAAGGGAAGTTTGCTCTACTCCTCCACGCGCTCCGTATGCGAACGCAAGCGGTACCACCCACGAATCCATCCCACTGCCTCCATGTTGTTGATGTTTGCGTTCTGAAGTGCTCCGAGGGCCTCCAAACGAGCGAGTATGATTCCGCGCTCGGCCGTTAACTCCAAGACCCTCGTCGCTGTTGCAGCCGTCAACGCCGCACCTGCAAAGAGTGTGTCAGCATCCTCTTTCGCATCGATAGGTCACTCGCATGCCCCAGGCAGCTTTGCAAGACACTAAGTCCGTGAACATTTCGAACACTCACCGTTGTCTATGTTCTGTTGCAGAGCGTAAGTAATATTCGCCGGCTGCAAGGCACTGATAAGTCGGACACAGATCGCAGGGCGAGAAGACATACCTGTCCCGATGGGTTTACATCGTGGCCTTGAAATGGGTCCCCCAGCCCGTCGGGCATAGCGGACGAAGACGATTGCCCTGTTCTCTCACCTAGGCCGGGTACTTCATTCGCACTCGCCGCTTGTCCCCCAGTGTACGTGCGCGAGATATGAGAACTCGCATGCGGCGGCCGTGAAGCCCCCGCAGTGGTCCATCCTTCCGCTCCGGTGGACGCTTGTGGTGGGGGAGGTTCTACAAATTGGCGCCGACTGTGCCGAGGTACCAGGGGCGTGGGTGCTGGTAGAGCCCTCCAGCCGGGGGGTGACCCTGGCGCGTTCGATATCGTGGCCTGCACCTCGACCTCTGATTCGCGGCGTATATGCATGATGGCGGCTGCTGGTTTGCGCCCGTCGTGCAGCACGCCAGAGTCACGAGTGGGCTCACTTTGCCCTGGAGTAGCGCTCTATTCGCGAGGGTCAGATCAAGAAGCGAAATGAAAGACATGACCATACGCACTGTTGTACTGTCATCTGCCTCATCGGTTTCCATAGGAATGGCCCCAATTCGAAGGCCGGACTCTGGCTCGTTCCCCGCCATGCCGCTAGTGTCGGCAGGGTGTATGATAGACATTTCCCGGTGAACGTCAGGATCATTCTGTGTAAGGCATCAGCTACCAAGGCCGATCAGATTACTTTCGGAAATGCGTACCTCTTCTGTGTCGTCCATCGGGATTGCAAATCTCCCGCGAACCTTAATCCTGGCCTGCCTTGGCGGTTGGGCCGCGACAGTCGAGGACTGAGTATTTCGAATGCGTCAGTTTCGTGATACAGGGACACGGCGTTGTAACATACATTCGACGGGGCCGGCATACTTTCGGCCCGTACAGACTTCTTTTTCACCTGCACGGCATTACCTGCCGCCCTCGAGGTAGAGTCCTCTTCCGCTGGGTGTGTCTGCCGGTCTGTCAGGTTTCATCGACAGTACAGATTACAGAGCTGGCCTACCTCGTCCTCGTCACCCATCGGGATCTTGAATCGGAAGTGGTGATGAGCTTCCGATCCCAAGTCGGGGATCGCACGGGCAACCGTCTTTCCCTTGGTTGTGCCGGACTTGGGATTTCAATCAGTGGCAATTAAGGCACGAGTACGCCGGAGCAATACGTACTGTCTCCCGAAATGCCGAGGGTGTCTCTTCCTCCATTGGGATGTTGAATCGTCGAACAGGGTGGTCCTTCTGCGCCATATATTAGGTTCGATGCCTGTGTAATGTGAGCAATTCGAGTACACACCGGTGTTGCCTCTACCTCGGACTCTTCATCCTCCATGGGAATCGCAAAACGTCTGCGGGGAACAGGTTGTGGCTTCCTCCCCGCGAGCTCCCCCGCTGACGTGGCAAGCTGAGGCCTCTCGCGACTTGGAAGGTTACGTTCAGCCTGTACGGAGTTACCAAGACGAAAGAACAACACAAATTACAGAGGTGCGTACCTGCACATCGGAAGTATCCTCGGGAACATTTACGGGGTCCCCAGAGGCGACACGAGAACCTGGCGTGGCGCGCCTAAGTGGTCGCGTGGACGGGGCCCGCCCCCGCGTCGAAGGCTTGCGTGACCCTGCCAGGCGCGGCGTCAGTAACTCACCCAAGATGTCTCAGTGCGACGTACCTCTGCCGGACATTGTACTGTCGTAGTGAGGAGAATGGCGCACGATCTGTGGTTGAGCACAGATCAAATGGCGCCCGATCGGCGAAGTTCGTTTGTGGCTAGCAAACCCGCGGCCACGCCGGGACCACGTGACACGTGTGGCTTTGAACTTGTTGATCGCCGGCCTCCTGCATCACTTTGCTCTCGCGTCCATCATCGCGTCGCTCTCCGCTCACCCATCCCACTCTGCTCTGACACCCTGATTTGTGCTCTTCTCGCTGCTTTGCTCAAACATGCCTCGTACGTCTTCCACCGCCAAGTCGTCGGCCGCCACCAAAAGGCCCGTCGCAATCATGAAGCAGCCGGACCTCGACGTGTACCTGGCGCGCGTCAACGCTCACCTGCTGAGGTTCATGGGTGGTGGTCTTGTGAGGAAGACGGAGAAGGAGACGTTTTCCGGGGAGCAGGTAAGCACGGGATACCATTGCGGCGTTGTTAGCGTGCTAACTCAGAGACCCAGCTTCAGAAACTTCAGAAGCTGATTGTACGTTTTGTGCTCAGTGTCTTGCGGAGTTACCTAACACTTCATCACAGGACCCCGCTATTGAGCAACTCTTCGGCGCGTGGTCCAAGGCCATGACCCCAGAGGAGCGTCCGAAGGCTCCGAGGCTTCTCCTCTCCGCAATGCTCGAGGTGGACTACGCGACCGCCGAGGACCCCGTACGCCTGTCCAACATCCGGCCGAATGATCCCCGATTGGCGAAGTGTCAGTGGCTCAACCCGCACGCTCCAAGTGGTCTGCCGCCTCCAGCCCCTCCGAAAGCCCCGGAACCCGGCCCATCTCGAGAACCGCAGAGTGTTCGATTCCAGCAGTTGGCGGCCGACGAGGACGACGAGGACGAGATGGATGGAGCATGGGAAAGTGGCGCAATGGACGTGGACGAGGAGGGTGAGGACGAGATGCCGGTGGAGGAGGAGATGGAGGAGGAGATGGAGGAGGTGGTCGTGGACAAAAAGGGGAAAGGTAAGGCCGTGTCGGCGGGGTCGGGGAGCAAGCAGAAGGTGGGAGCCGGACAAAAGCGCAAGCGGGCACCCACCCCTCCTCCGCCTACTAAGTCCCAGCGGCGCTCTGGATCGAGGGCTGTCAAGGTGAACGACGAGGTGGACGAGGATGACGTTGCACAGACCGAGCCAGAGGATGGGGAGGACGGGCAACAGGAAGCCCATCGTCGCGCGAAGAAAGGTAAGCAGTACCGCCCTGTAAAGATATTTTTGGCCCAGATCAGCACTCACAACGGGCTCTAGCAAAGCCCTCCAAAGGGATTTTGAAGATGACCGCCGAGGAGCTCAACGTTGAGCGGGCGAAGTTCAAAATCGATTACAGCAAAGAAAAGACGCGGAAAGAAGTGCACGTACGGCCCATGGTAAGTGAATGATGATCCCTGGCAACGTTCCATGCTAACTGGGTATATCTTCCAGCCATATACCTGTATCTGTTGCAGGGGATTCCCCTGTCAAATATCGGCACCCAGGGGATGCGAGTTCAAGGTCGATGGTACCCTGAGGAAGAATCACCCGGCCTGCGACTTCTGCCATGTCAAGAAGATCAAATGTGAGCCGATCGACACCGAGGGCACCTTCAAGCCCGCCCGTGGGTCTCGAAGACGGTCCTCCTCCCGGGCAAGCAGTGTGGACAGCGACGCCCAGGGTAGCGACGCGGACGGACCTCCAACGACGGCCGACGAGTCCGGCGACGACAGTGACACAGCCTCGGTCGCCACTGCGTCGAGCCGCAAGAGCACACGCCGGAGCGCTACGCCCTCCCGTCTTCCCACAACGGTGACTTCGAAACCGCCAAAGCCGGCCCAGGCGAAGAAGGCCGCAGCGAAGAAGGCCGCAGCGAAGAAGGCTCCGGCGAAGAAGGCCCCGGCGAAGAAGGCCCCGGCCAACACGGAGGCTGGGCCCAGCAGCGACGCTCCGCCACCGCGCAAAAGGGCGAAGAAGGCACAGGAGCCCGAGCTTGACCCCGATGACATCAGTAAGTCCCCAGCTGCTGTCAAGTGGGACACTCATATGAACTACGCAGAACGCGTATACCCAGTAATGCCCAACAGCAAGACTCGCCCGGCACTTGGCCAGCCAATCTCGGTCGTCCGCGCGGAAGACATGCGCCCCGATGTCATGGCTCTCCGCCTTCGAGACCTGGAAGAGCTCGTTGGGAGCATGAGTGAGCGCATCGTCGCGCTTGAGGCCTCAAACATGGCATTGCGGGAGGACCAAAGGCTCATCAGTGAGTACCGGCCGGAGCTGCTTGCCGTCCTCTTCACAGCTAATCAGTTGCAAGGTCGCGCGTGGCTCGCCGGTGAAGGGAATCCCAACTACGTCACAGTCATCCGGGAGATGGTCACCCGGATGCAGGCCAACATGGAGTGGCAAGACACTGGGTCCTACAGCGAGGGGCAATCGCCCCCGATCGGGTGGAGTCCCCTCCCTGATTGGGACGCTTCTGCGCCATACCTGATGGATCACACGTCGGTGACGCCCAGCCCGGATGGTCCACAGGGGGACCGCAGTCCGCTCCTGCGCGCTGAGCCCGAAGTGGGCGGGACGTCGGCCACCAATGACTCTCGCGCGGCGGCGATCGAAGACGGGCCCTCGCCGCAGACGGTCATGATTGACCCTGACCACACGGGCGTGAACGACCCACAGCCCGGGCGACAGCGGGGAGTCGACCCTCCCCCACCACTGCCCATTCCCAGCTCAGCCACAGCGACGTTGACCAACCCGCCCCGGACGAGCTCACAGGCGGTGTCAATCCCCTCATCGGCCAGCACCAAGCCCGCCATCGCGCCGCCCGCAGATTTGTCGATGAAGCAGCTGCGGGAGGACTTCCAGCGGTCGTGGATTCCGCCCAACCTCTTCGCGCAGCTGGCCCAACGTGCGGCGGAGCCCGCCACCACTCCTCAATCCGCCCCCGCCACCCCTCGCACGCCTGACGGACATGTGCAAGCTGGCGGCGCCGCGATGGTTGTCCCGCACTCGGACGGGGGCGTGCCGACCAATGCCCAGGCCACCAAGAACGTGGCCGACGCTGTCCACCCTGAAGAGACAGTGCCGGCGGTTATGCCCGAGGTCAGTGGGCTGGCGCCCGGTGGAGCTGCTGCAACAAATGTGGAACACGCGCCCGGAGGCGCTGCTGCGCCGTTGACTGAGGCTGTGGCCGCTACCCCGCCTCGGTCTCCCAGTGAGGCTGCAGTTCCCGCCACGGCCCCCTCCACCGACGTCGGGCCGGCCACCGCCAACGGCACGTCCACCTCCGCGAATGAATCGGGAGTCGCCGGTGGCCCGCCCACTGTCGAGGCTGCGCGAACCGACGAGGTTGCCCCCGCCGTCGAGACGGACGTCGCTGGCGAGATTGCGCCCCGACCAGGAACCGCTGACAGCGCTGGGCAGACGAATGTGGAAGCGGTGCAGAAGCCTGCGGATGAGGGGACGCCGGCCGAGGGCGGGGACACGGACACTACAGCAATGGACACTACGGAGTAAAGGATCCATCAGTAGGAATTTATGACGATGTACAATGTATTGAATGCTCGATCAACATGTAATTATAATGAATGGAATGGCTCATGGCGTGGACTCTACTGGAGGGTGGCTATAGTGTAGTGTTTCGTCAACTTAGCGACCTAAGAGCCTCTTTGGCTTGGGTGACACTCGACCGGCCGGCTCCCTCTAAGTTTCGGCCGGCGTCCTCGCATGTTATCATGGAAGTTGGCTATATCTGCAGCACCCTAATACCGCTATGACGAGACCTCTGCACATACCAGCTTTCAGAAACACTTACAGCCCTACTGTCTTCCAATGACTCGTGCTCGCCGAGAGATGTCTCTGACTCCCCGGCCTGTGCCTTTCATGCGCCGGCCGAGACAAACGGTTATCCGGCCGGCGAATCCGGGTTGTCAGCCGGCCGGCACACCTGCGCCAGTCACCGGCCGACACTTCATGCGGTATTGTTGGACATCTTGCAATACGAATGCTACCCAGCGTCGACTCTCATGTCGCTTTGTAAGCCTTAGACGGGGAGACGTACGGGGCTACAAGGATGTCCCTCATTCAGCGGCCCGTTATCGCATGTTCGTCGGCCGGGGCACACTTCAAAGGCTCCGGCCGGCGAATCAGTGCTCGATGCCGGCCGGGCTTCGTGCGCGATTGACCGGCGGACACTTCCTGCATATGTGTCGGCCCTGTGAGAGATACCCATTGTGCAGCAATCATACAGGTACATGATACATAACAACTCCGAGCTCGAGGTCCTTTCAAAAACACATGGGAGAGAACCTACTTACCCCGGCCCTTGGGTCCGGGCTTGGACGGGCCAGCTTTGGCTGGCTTCTTCTGCTTCGCCGGGGAGGCTGAGTCTTCTCCGCGATGACGCTTGACGCGCGCTCCAATCGCGGAGATGTCGTCTGGGCCGGCCTTTCTTTTCCTCTGTGCGTACGCCGCAATATTGACAAAGAGCTGAGCGAGGGCTTCGCAATGCTTCACGAGCTCCACGACAACTTTCTCGCCCATCTGGGATTCAAGGACGTATTGCGGTATCTCGTCGTCGCTTCGGTGATCAACCTTGGTCTCGATGTCACGGATAACCGACAGGATCGCGAGGGCGACGAGCAAGGCATCGTCCTGCCCGATGGTATTCTCGGCCAAGGAACCTTCCATCAGCGTTAGCCACCGGCGGAATTGCGAGAGAACGTTCGGCTTGGTATGAATGACGTTGGAGCACGTCTCCCGGGGATAGTCCCATCGTGCCCAGTCCCACCGAGTGCTCGAGCGCCATCCACCCTTCTCCGGCTGGCAAGGGCATGTCAGCCCAACGCCAAAGTTTGCATGATGTGCTCTTACCAGATGTTCGGTTGCCTCAACCATCCCCCTTGTGCCATCCTCTGATGTCATAGACAGCAGGTATGCTCGACGGGCCAGCCGGGTGTTCTCGACAGTCACCGGGCTGTCATAGTCGGGGTCTGAAGGCGACCGGACGGGTACCACCTTCTTTGTGTGGCCCACGATCTGCACTTCGTCGTCGTCGGCGTCGGACTCAGCTGGCACCAACGCACGGCGACTGCTGCCCGCCTGTTTGGATGACGCTGCCGCTGGCTTGGCGCCTTTCGGCGCAGTCTCCTTCGTCGCCGGTGGCTTCGCCTTGCCCTTGGGTGGGGCGGCCTTCGATTCATTCCCCGGCGCACTGTCAGCTCCATCTGCGTCGGCCGGTGGCTCAGCAACCTTCCGTCGGGGAACTGTACTTATGGTGAGTGGATTTTCTAGTACGCCAAGGCAACCTTCCGCTTACCTGGCTTGGGCCTTGCAGGCTTCCCCCCACGGGCCGGAGTGTCCTTCGATTCATTTGCCGGCGCCCCTTCTGCTCCATCTGCGTCGGCCGCGGGCTTAGGGACCTTGTGTCGGGGAACTGTGCTTATGGTAAGTGTATTGTCCTATACGCTGAGGGAATTGTCCGCTCACCTGGCTTCGGCTTTGCTGGCCTTGCTCCAGTGGTTTGATCCTTGTCGCTTCGCCGTGCCTTCCGCCGTTCATCTGGAGGCGCCTCTGCAGCATCCTCCGTGGGATCGGGCTCGGCGGCCGGCTGCCGCCGCGGACCTGTGTTCACTGTGAGCACGTCAATGGGTCGAAAACCGATGAATCTCGCACGTGGTTTGGGCCTAGCAGTCGCCTTCTGCACGGCGGCGGGCTCAGCACTCGGACCCGTGGTGTTGGGTTTGCTGGCCGATTTGTCCTTCGTGCCCTTGCTCTCCCCCGTCGTGTTTGAGCCGCGGCCGGGACCAGTGCCTGGGGGAAACGCCGGCCTGAACGTCGTCTTCTTAGCGGTAGCAGATGTCGGCTTCTGGCTGACATCTTTGGCAGGTTTTGCCGGACGGTCCGCCTGGTTGGTGGTGGCGTTTGACGGACCGCGCGGAGGAGATGCCGGGCGAGATGGGCTCGCCGCATTGGCCCGGGCCTTGCCCTTGTCCGCTTTCGTGAGCCGCGGCGGAGACGGTTCTTGGTCATCATCATCGCTGCCGGCGGGGTCTTCAAACAACGAGTTGTAGCTCTGGTCGATGTCCCCGCCCTGAAAAAACTCTGCCTCAGCGTCGTCACTGTCTGGCGTTGGCGATCGCTTTCGCCGCCGGGCCGGGGCAGGCGGCCGGCCGGCCGGCGCCCGTTTTGGCGGAGGCTCTTCGTCGCTCGACGAGCTCTCGTCGTCTGAGTAGCGCTCCTCGTTGCTCTCGTCGATCACCACCACCTCGCGATTTGAGTTTCTCCAGGCCTTGAATCTGAAGACCAGCAGGCTACCTTGGTCATCCTGCCGCTCGCGCCAATGCTTCAGGATGGCATCGAGGTCACCAACCCGCATCTTGTTTGGATCACTGAGAACATGCCCGGCGGGAAGAAACGCCTCGTCAATGAACGTGTCAGACTCCTCCGACAAGGATTGCCAGGGTACCTTGGCCTTTGGCCGGCCGGTGTACCGTCCTGGCCGGCGGGTCGTAAGCACGTATTAATGCTGTAGGAGGTAGCACGCACTGTATGTCATACGAACGAACGTTCCGAGGACGGCTCGCTTCGTGTCAGTCTTGGCAAAACACTCGTGATCGGCGTCAGGGAGCAGAGGATACCTGTCTTCGTCGAGCTCCCAGTCGAGATTCGCGATGAGCTGCGCCGCGCCGAGTTGCCCGTCGGCGGGAAAGCCATCGCCATCTTGTACCATTGGTATTAGTGCCTTTGCCCTGACGCTGCATCCCGGCCACTCACCCATCACGTCTTCCGCATACTTCTTCCACATCTCGTACGTATGGCCCCGCTTGAAGTCGGGGTAGGCGTCGATGAACCTCTGCGGCTCAGTTCCTTCTTCGCCGTTGATGGGGAGCTGATCATTGAAGTCGAATCTGCAGTGCAGTTAGTTGGGGAAGTTGACAGGCACACCGAGGGATATACGTACTCTACGATGCCCGGCCGGCCATTGGAGGCCTTCACGAAGCCCAGGGTGAACGTCCTCAGCCCAGTCTTCCTGTACATAATCCTCTGGAAGTCCAGGACCATGTCGGTCCCGTGTCTCAGGAGCGTCTTTTGCTGCAGGTCGGGCGGCCACTCTGTCCGGTTCCATAGGTCCGCCGTGGCACGGTAGTCCTCCTCTTCCTTCTTTGAGATGCCCTTGCACAGCTTGGAGCGGGCAGTCTGGTAAAGGGATAAGTACACTTTTGGATCCTTCTCCCTGCCCTGACCGAGGTCAGCGATGATATCCGCAAGGTCGCCCTCCCTCTCCCTCGCTGCGACCGTCTGCCAGCTGACATCCTTCCCTAGCTTGAACATCTCCTTCCTCAGCTTCTCGCGTTCCTCTCTCTGGTCAGTATACCACTTCACCACAAGCTGTAATTCGTGAGCAAGGTCATGATGTTGTTATGCTCCGACCCCGTACCTCCCTGGTCTCTCTGTCAAACGCATACTCTCGGAGCTCCTGGAGGCGTTCTATGGTATTTTTGACCAGCTCCTCCTGACGTTCATCATCTCCCTCAGCATCCTTCCAGTCCTGAAGGTTGTCGGCGAGGATTACGATGTCGCGTTTTTGCCAGAAGCTCGTCGGTGCCATTGTGTAGATCTCGAGTGGAATGCGAACGGCCGGTGAAAGCAGTGACAGTTCGGAATTTCGGTGGTTTGGGGCTGAGTATGTTTGGGCGTCAAAGGATGTCTTGGGCATACACGGACGATGATTAAGCTGATTATACATGACACCCCTGCATCCCCTCCGGCAATTGTATACTATACGATGCAGTTAATTGCAAGCTTTTCAATGATACCCATATGTCATATCATCTGTCAGGATCCCACGCGATGGTGCAAGGAGTGTCGGCCGGAAACTCGCCCGGCCGCCCCGTTGCAAACATGGCCGGCCGCCACATCGGCGACATAGGACGCGTGTGTTGACAACGGCGTCACAATGGCTGTGACTGCCGCACCATTTCCATATCATTGGCCGAACGAGAATTGGGCCTGTCCATGCGCCGGTGATGGGTTCCCAACGCCATTCCTGGCCCGGCCCGGTCGCCAACGCGCGGCCGGGCGGTGGGTGGTAGATCACCCTAGCACAGTTCTAGCGCTTCTGGACTGCACAGACCGACACCGAGAACTCATTGACCCAACTCCTGTGGCAGATCTGGCTTGGCCCGCGCCATCCGGCGACACCATCGAGTGGGCCGGACACGTGATCAGGATGAACTGTCGGGCCGACTCCCACTCCGGCCGCATCACTGTATACGCCTGGAACTGAGCTGCGGTCGGTACGATCTCATCTCGGGTTCACGCTAGAACTTGATTGCAACAGCAATCTCAGGTCCACGATCGAACGTGATACTCTCGATCGGTGTCAACAAGTGCCCCCCCAGATATGCGTCTCGATACCCGGGCCGATGACCTCGGGCAGTGACCGGCCGGGGCTTTGCGTGACTTGCAGCATATTCCTGTCCGTTGTGACAGCACAATGTATGCCGACTTGGTGAGAATTTGGTGATCGTTGTCTCCCTAATTGCCCGCTACCAGGCGCAAATCCGACACCTCCGGCCGGCCCATGAAAGACGTGCGGTCAGCTCGGCGTCATTCCTGAGAGTCTCGCTCAATGGTAAGGCTCAAGCCACGGGCGAGCTCACCTAGTGTTGTAGAGCTCGCATTTACGAGGACCCGCACCACTCGAGGTGTCAAGACCCGCCTTGTGCAAGTGCAGAATGCGGGACTGCAGACCCCTCCACCAACACCGCATCGCAGCATCAGAACGTCAACGCAGGACACAAGCTCTCTTCGCCATGAAAGCCCTACCGTTTCCCACCCCATCTTTGACTTCCTAGATGTTCGCAAGGCAGCACCACTGGTAAGTCTTGCCAGAGCTGGTACGCTGCAAGGCTGCTTATACAAATTATCAGACCCAGCCTGACATGCTCAGGGAGTGGATTCCCCTCCAGCACGAGTATCTGAAAGCCATCTACGCTCATTGCGAGCCTCCAGGCACCGGAAATGATGGGGGCTTCATCTGTGCGGGCTGTAACTCCGGAGGGGGGGTCTGGAAGTGCTTGTCTTGTATTGGGTGTCCAATCTACTGTGCGTCTTGCTGCTTGACACAACATCGGCGAACACCCTTCCATCGGGTGGAGCGATGGAGGCTTGATCGCTACTGGGCACCGGCGTGGTTGCGTGAGGTCGGAGTTGTCATCAATCTTGGGCATCGGGGAGGCGAGTGCGAGCTCGCGCAGGAGGCCGTGCACGAGGACAGTGAAGGAGAACATGAGGAGGAGACGGGGGGTGATGAGGACGATGATGAAGAAATGCAAGACGACCCTCTACGCCATGCAGATCCACCCCCCGCGGGCCGCCCGCAATGATGACCATCGTCGACATCTCTGGAGTCCACTTCCTACCAGTGCGCTGGTGCGGCTGCCTCGGCGCGAGAAGTCATACCTCGCAGCTCCTCGATTCTGGCCTCTATCCTGCAAGTCAGCGTGAGGCGAGAACTTGCTTTACGTTTCAGGTACTGGACGACTTCCTGCTTGATAATCTGGAGTGTAAAACAACGGCCATGAACTATTATCGCCGAATACGCCGGGTGACAGACCCCCTTTTCCCCCATGAGGTACCGGTGAGCATGAGCTACTAAGACATGCGAAGTGAGGAGCCTAATGAGTGGGAAATCACGTTTCGAACGGTCCACCCGGAGTGCATTTGGCCCGTTTCGAACGGTGTACCCGGGCTCGGCCGGAGCACTCCGGGTCTACCGTTTGGAGCGGCCGCCGCCAGCAACGAACCGGCCGGAGGGAGGGTGGTGGTTTGGAATGGTCCGGCCGGAGTGTTGGGTAACGTTCCGGCCGGAGCTCTGGTGAACGTACCGGCCGGAGGCCTCGAGAAATATGGGTTTCCTACGGTGCGGCCGGACTGTTATCCAACGTTCCGGCCGGACCCCTGGTCAACGGTCCGGCCGGAGGCCTCGAAAAATTTACGTTTCCTACGGTCCGGCCGGACATATACCCAATGTTCCGGCCAGACCTTTGATCAGTGTCCCGGCCGGAGGTCTCAAAAATTTGGGCTCTCAACGGTCCGGCCGGGCTCATCACTAACGGTCCGGCCGGAGCACTCAGCAATGATTCAGCCTGGCCAGGGGTTGGTTTCGGACGTCTGGCCGGCCCCCAGGTGAAATGGTCCGGCCGGGCAAAATCCCAACTTCCAATGTGAACAGGCCGGCCGGAAGCCTTGCAAAATCTGGGCTGTAAATGGTCCGGCCGGGCTAGTTTCTGACCATCCAGCCAGACCCCAGATGAACCGACCGGCCAGGCTTCTCCCAGCCAGACCCCTGATACACTAGTAATATAACAACAAGAATTGTTAGTTGTAACAACCAAGCTCAATATTTAACCACCAAGCCCAGAGATGAGCCACCAAGCTCGGTATCAAACCACCGAGCTCAATAGTGAGCCACTGAGCACAGTATTGAACCACCGAGGTTAAACAGCTAGGCTCGGTGGCCGAGAAAAATTGGCCGGGCTCGGCGCCGAGGATAAATGGCCGAGGCTCGGGCCGAGGTTTCGAGCGCCGAGCTCGGTGAAAACCGCCGAGGTCAGTATCAAAGCATTGAGCTCAGTGTTAAGGGGCCCAGTTAAAGGGCCGAGCTGAGTGTTCAATGACCGAGTTTGTTGTTGAAGCACTGAGCTCGGAAATGGCCGAGGTTAAACCACCGAGCTCGGTGAAAAACGGCCGGGCCGTCAGATTGCCATATAAGGAAATTTGGTATCATCTGGTAGCCCTTCATTCACAGAGTACAGTATATGTTCCCTAGTGTACAGAGATGCCTAGTTAGGTCAGAGAATACAAAATATAAAATGCTCACAGGCTTCTCTGAGAACGTACTATTCAATTCCTGAGGCCAGTTTTCTTTTCCCACAATGTTTGACTATCTAGAATGTGCTATTTCAATGCACAGACTACATCCCCAACAGGAATAGTCTTATTCTTTGAAGCTGAATGCAGGACAGGAGATAAGGGGTATACATGTTGGATAATGATGTTCACTCCCTGCAGCCAACATTCTTTCCAAATAGTGTTTGACTATCTAGAATGATTCATTTCCTCACAATGAGTGAGTCCTCCAAAGGAATAGTCTTATTCACACAAGCTGAATGCAGTACAGAGTTAAGGGAATCTGGTCTCATATGAGTATCACTCAATTTGAACAATGCTGATCATCACTTCTGTATCCATGCATGATATAGCTGAAGAGTCTATACATTGGACAGATGTGTCGCATTTTGCTCTGGCTGGCCTAGGACAGTGCACCGGCCGGACCGTTTGCTACGAGCAATGGCCGGCCGGACCATTGGCAATGAGCATTGTCCGGCCGGACCATTACCAATGGAGAGATGTTTATGTGGCCAGTGCAATGCGCATGGGTGCACATCACAGTTTGATACAGACAATCATTCAAAGCAGGCCCCATCATGACACAATAATGCATGTTCCCCTTAGCTCCATGCTCAGTTCAGCTAGGAAGAATAAGACTATTCCTCTTGAGGACTTTGCTGTTCATGTTGGATTAAGCCATTCTAGTTTGTCAAACATTGTGGGCAAAGCATATTGGCTTTACAAAGTAAACATAGTTCACATGTATCCCACTCCACCCTTGACACCTTAACTCTGTACTGCATTCAGCTTGTGTGAATAAGACTGTTCCTTTGGAGCACTTACTCCATGTGAGTAAATGAACCACTCTAGATGGTGAAACCCTATTTGGAAAGAATATTGGCTGCAGGAACCAACATTCAAGTCAGACATGCATATCCCATACCTATATGCCCCTTATCTCTTGTCCTGCATTCAGCTTCAAAGAATAAGACTATTCCTGTTGGGGATGTAGGCTGTGCATTGAAATAGCACATTCTAGATGGTCAAACATTGTGGGAAAAGAAAACTGGCCTCAGGAGTTGAATAGTATGTTCTCAGAGAAGCCTGTGAGCATTTTTTATTTTGTATTCTCTGACCTAACTAGGCATCTCTGTACACTAGGGAACATATACTGTACTCTGTGAATGAAGGGCTACCAGATGATACCAAATTTCCTTATATGGCAATCTGACGGCCCGGCCGTTTTTCACCGAGCTCGGTGGTTTAACCTCGGCCATTTCCGAGCTCAGTGCTTCAACAACAAACTCGGTCATTGAACACTCAGCTCGGCCCTTTAACTGGGCCCCTTAACACTGAGCTCAATGCTTTGATACTGACCTCGGCGGTTTTCACCGAGCTCGGCGCTCGAAACCTCGGCCCGAGCTCGGCGCTCGAAACCTCGGCCCGAGCCTCGGCCATTTATCCTCGGCGCCGAGCCCGGCCAATTTTTCTCGGCCACCGAGCCTAGCTGTTTAACCTCGGTGGTTCAATACTGTGCTCAGTGGCTCACTATTGAGCTCGGTGGTTTGATACCGAGCTTGGTGGCTCATCTCTGAGCTCGGTGGTTCAACTCTGAGCTCGGTGGTGGTTAAATATTGAGCTTGGTTGACACAACCTTGGTTGTTTTCCAGCTGAGCTCGGTGGTTAACAATTCTTGTTGTTATATCACCGGCAGATCAAACCTGAGGTGTCTGGCTGGTTTGGGAGAAGCCCGGCCGGTCTGTTCATCTGGGGTCCGGCTGGCTGGATGATTACAAACTAGCCTGGCCAGATTGTTTACAGCCCAGATTCCGCAAGGCTTCTGGCCGGATGTTTGGAAGGTGGAATTTTGCCCGGCCGGACCATGTCATCTGGGGTCCGGCCAGAAGGTTAGATATCAACCCCGGTCCTGGCCGGAACATTGAGAACCCAAATCTTTGGAGGCCTCCAGCCGGACCATTGCTGAGTGCGCCGGCCGGACCATTGCTGAGTGCTCCGGCCGGACCGTTGAGAGCCCAAATTTTCGAGGCCTCCGGCTGGGACACTGATCAAAGGTCCGGCCAGAACATTGAATATGTGTCCAGCCGGACCGTAGGAAGCCTAAATTTTTCGAGGCCTCCGGCCGGACCGTTGACCAGAGCTCCGGCCGGAACGTTGGATGACAGTCCGGCCGCACCGTAGGAAACCCATATTTCTCGAGGCCTCCGGCCGGTACGTTCACCAGAGCTCCGGCCGGAACGTTACCCAACACTCCGGCCGGACCATTCCAAACCACCACCCTCCCTCCGGCCGGTTCGTTGCTGGCGGCGGCCGCTCCAAACGGTAGACCCGGAGTGCTCCGGCCGAGCCCGGGTACACCGTTCGAAACGGGCCAAATGCACTCCGGGTGGACCGTTCGAAACGGTCAAGTTCCACTCAGTAATGTGAAGTGAGGCTAATCAAACGAGAAGGATCGCTATCGGGAACTCAGCAGAGTCAGTCGCCAGTGGACACTGCTGCAGGCTAAGAAGGATTTTGGATATGGCCCGGCCTGGCGTGGACCGCCGGGCGACGGGGACTTGGCGCATTTCTGTGCGGCCTGTCCGCAGCCGGGTATTAACATACCTGATGACTGGCAGGTCGACGACAGAGAGTAGGTGGCTTGCAACCACCGGCCGGCGAACGCTAACTCAATGTCAAGGTACTTGTACGCGCGTGGATATGCGATGGACGGCAATTTCCACGCTGAGCAAATGAAGATGCGTGTGCCGGGGAATGATGTGCCACTCATGCCAGGCAAGATGTTCATGGTCAATCCTACCCCGTACGCCGAGCATCTCAAAGTGGCCAAGGAGGTCGTCGTGGTGAGTAAAGGGCAATGTTGCGGAGGAAATACGCTAAGTGCGCGTGTCATAGAAATCTACATGTAACGATCATAAGGCTGTATCCCAAGCCAATGCCGACAGGCACAAGCTCGCCGTGACGGGGATAGGTGCGACGGCCTGTTCCAGGCATGGGTGCTTCGTACCACATTCGGTGGTGAACTTCCAGAAGGGAGAGCGCCAGATGAACATGGACTATTCTCTGTCAAACGCGCTGAAATACCGATCGCGAGGGTGTACCCGGGTCATCGTACTTTACGACATCATGTGTCAGTGGGGTGTGCACATGAACGCCCGATTTGAGCACAGCCCGTACCTTTCAATACCGCCCCGTCTTGTCCTCTACAAGTGTATAGGCCTCTTTCATGTCCACGGCCACAAACCAGAGTGCGAGTATTGCTTCTCGCCGACGTACATGATCGGGGCCGGCGAGGTTGATGGCGAGATCGTTGAGACGCAGTGGTCATGCATGAATCGCATATCAGGTAGTACAAGAACCATGTCCACTTCTCACAGGCAAGAAACACTCGATCGGCACATGAACGACTGGAACTGGAAGAAGATGATCACGATGGGTTCGTCTCTTTCCCATTCACCGGCCGGCGCATGCTAACATCCGGGGCAGTTACATCCCTTCGCCGGAAAATCAAAGCTAATCGGCCGGTGCTTGCCGACATGAAGCGCGACCTCTCGGCGAAGGAAGCAGGTGTCAGCCCACTGCGGCTGCAGGCTTGGAAGGCAGAGCTTGATACGGCGCAGAGGCAACGCCTCCGAAACGTAAAGGTTATGGACCGATACCAACCTCCAAAACAGATCGGTGAGTAGTGTATGAACAGCCGGCCGACGGCCTTCTCATGTGGACCATAGCCCCATCCCAGGCTGCACTTCAACTGGAATTGACAGAGCAGGAAGGCGATGACGATGCCACGATTGGCACTGCGGCCTGGATTGCAGAAGGCCTAAAGCTGGAGGAAATACAGTTCCGTGTGTCCTCCTCATAAATGACGATTTAAATCTCAACTCCAGGCAGGATTAAAGTGAAGAAACACGCAAAGCAAATAGGGGACAAGGCCACCGGGGCACAGCTCTTAAAGCTGGGTAAAGAGCGGAAGAACCTGGAGACCCGAATTCGCCGCTTCCACAGTCGAGCATATGGGATTGCCCGACGCAACCACCTAATAGTAGAGGAGGGCGCGGAGGAGGGGGACGACGTAGGCGACGATTGGGAAGATGAGGGCCCTCTTGTCCCCCGGCAGCCAAACAGCCCGTGGGCAGTGTTCAACAGCCGGCCTCCTCCTCCCTACTCCCGGGCAATATCTGAGGAGACAGCGATCGGCCTACCATCCAACCTCCCAACTGATGTGCGCGAGGACCATGGAATCCCACCGCTTGCAAGGCGGGAAATGGTACTTCGGCGAGGGCAGGCTAACGATGCCCTTCAACAACTGCGGGGGCTGCTTGGGCAGAAGTCGTTTCAGTTTCGTACCAGTGTCCGGCGCGGCAAAGGAAATACCAAGCGCACCCGCGCATGGACTTCGATGACGAAGCTCGACCGTGCTGTCCAGATTCAGGCCGCCATCTATCGAAGAGCTCGTGCGGCAATGCTGGTCCTTGGCATGTCAGAGGCTGACCGGCGGAAATATCAGCCGTTGCAGCCAGACGACCTCAAAGTCAGCACGGCAATAGCAGAGCCCAATAAGCGAGGGCAGCGCCACATATCACCGTCTTGGGTGTGGAACGTTGACGTGGAAGCCGATATTATAGGTGATAATGGGCTGGCAGTCAGTAAGTGGGCCGAACACAATTGGCACGGCAACCGGACTCACAAATGGGGCAGTCCACCGTGTCCACTGGTTTCAGGCGCGCTCAAAGGTTGACAGACTGGAAGAAGAAGCCGGTATCCTCAAGCGCGAACTAGATTCTGTGCGACGATACTTCACCCATGAAAGTCAGAGATGGCGGGACATGGCCAACGTGGAGGCTGATGACCCTTACCCCGGATTTTCACCTCACTGCCGCAGACAAGCCGCAATGTACGAACGTCTACACAAGGACGCTCACCAGATGTATATGGATATGTACATAGATGCCAATGCGGTATGATCCAATCCCATGCACGCTGACTACTGAAGTCCCATCTGCGGAGACGACCCTATGCTGAAGGATACAATGCGCCAATACGAGGTAACTTGATGAGACATGGCCTGTGCTGGAAGCCAGTATGGGACACTGCCGCTATACCCTGGGCGTTCGCCGGCCGACCGGCAACGCGGAACTCTCGGCCGTCCGTACACAGTCTCGGGGGGGCCATAACATGTCCGGTGAGAAATGCAGCAACTCTCTAACATTTTTGTAAGCTCGACACAGCATAGAAAACTGTGAATCATGTACGGGTGGACTGCATCACGAGAATCAGCCGGGTCTCCGCCGGCCGAGGATTTCGGCGCGCATCTCGGCCGGCCGTCATCGGCTCTCCGAAAAAGCCAAAGAATCCTCGAGGGTACATGTACGAAGTTAGGAGAAAGATAGCACCCAGAGGAGTATGCTCCGCCATGCTGGGCTGTCATGGCCTACAGGTAAAGAGCCGGCGTGGGCCGGCCGGGCTTTTCGGCAGACCCCTCGGCCGGCCGTTCACAGTACCGGGCGAAGCCAATGTAAACCTGGCAAATTAAACAGCCACTGTCTCTGGTGCTTCTGCAACTCAATGTACCGGCCATTGACCAGGCACACACTGTGAAAGGTGGAAGGATAGAAGTCATGCGGCCTTCTTTCGCCATAGTCCGGACGGTGTGGTGCCTCGGCAATTTAGCACACGTGTCTCTGCAACCTACGCCGGCGCCTGGAGCGAGGCAATGACGAAATAATCATGTGACCTCCGTGAGAATGTGGAGGGATCACGATCCGATCAGTTGCAGGCCACAGTTCCAACACACTTTGCATCACTACCGTGACCATCTCGAGCACAATTCACGATGGAAGCAACAATTGCCGAACTCCTGGAGACTGCCCAAAGGCACATTTTTGCCCCCAAGGCCGCCGAAGCTATGCATGTTCTCGCGCTGGATGAAAACTCCCCGGGGGATCTTACAACCCTTGTGCGTGCAATTGTGGGTACCTATTGCATATATATGGGGGTGCCACGCTAATTATTCCCGGCACAGTCCCTGACTGCCCTGATGGCCGGGCTGAAGGAGCTTGCAAAGCCTGAAGTGGCGTCAGAGTACGGCATTGCCGAAGCCTTACCTAAGTACTGGGGGGTCATGGCACCGGCCGGCCGGGAACCTGAGGAAGTTTTGGTTGCAGTTGTCGAGGGCGTCGGAATGCCACCCGAGATGCCAGCACCGATCAGGACGGAAATTCGACCGCCGGCGGCCACGCAGGACGACGGCAGCCCCCAAGGCCTTTTGAGCCCCGAAACCGTCCTCGATGCTATTATGACACGCCAGGGGGAGATGGGCCCAATCATCGCCGAGCAGATGAAGGTGTCGGCGGAACAACTGCGGCAAGTGGAAGAAAAGCTGCAAGTAGCAACTCTGCGGGTGAGCTGCCTTATCTCATCACAGCCACCACCACTCTAAACCGAGTCCACAGGACAAGGTAACCTGCCATGCTCAACAAATCAACCTTGCTGTATTGCCGGAGCTCCTCGAACCTGGGTTTCTCGGGAGGGAGCACATGCCGAAGGACTTGACGACGGAGGGGCTGGAGTGGCTGGAGCGGCTTAGTGATTCCATGCACACGATGAACGTTTACATCGCGGCGGAGATAGAGTTTTGGACGGCAGCAGCAGAGGCCAACGAGCGCGAGCTGGCTGTATGCCGCCGCGTCGCAGGTACATAGCAAGCGACAGTGTGTCACACTTGGTTCAAGCGGTTCGGCGTCCGAGCCCATCCACTGGTCATCGATAAAATAGCAGACAAGTAGCATGACAATGTAAAATAGAATGCTTCAGGTGCATATGATCCATACAGCGCCGGTGTGGAGACGCAACGACATAAATGGCCGGTGCCATTGCACTGCTCGCGGAGACATGAACGGCGCCGGCCGGCGATTTAATGGGCCGGCGCCCCCATCTGTGCCGCCGGCCGGAGTGTTGACATTGGGGCATTAATTGAATGGATGACAGTAATTGATTGCTACACAATCTTCGTACAAAACGTCATCACGGATAGCATAGGCTATTCAATCCCATAGATAACGCCACCCAGCGATGGCCACACGGGCCCATGCGTGAATATTTGGTCGCATGTAGTATGCTACACATACCCGCTCGGCCTGTGACTCCGGTACCTCATGCGGTAGGCGTGCACCAGAGAACGACGCGATTGTACCGGTCTTGTATGGGAGGACAAGGGGAATGGTGGGAAATCGAATAACCAGCTGAGGATCTCCGCCAACGGAGAGCAACATGTCGTACCACTCTTTTGACGACATCCTGTCCTGATGTAAGCGGCTGCGCCTGTTAAGCATGACCGACAACGCATTGAACGGATTGCTCCAGATGTTCACCACGGCTGCTCGGGACGGGTCGCTTCGCAAAGCCTGCAGCGATGCGATCCCGCTCGAGTACAATTGGGGGTGCATGACGTGGAGCATGCCGGAGATGATGATGTGCGGCTCGACCATGGCCTCGAGCCACTCTCGGCCCACGGAGTCTGCCTTGCGGAGAAGCACAGACACTGCGGGCCTGGAGTTTCTCTCCTGGGAACCATGAGTCGAGAGTTGACACAGATTCAAATGAGACATACATTGTGCGCCTGCGCGAACCACCCGGGGGAAAAGGCCACAGATCCCGGTGTGAACTCATCACCGGCCCGTGGGGTTCTGAAATATTGGGCTTGCTGCCGCCACGGGCCATCATCGGTCGGGTGATTGACTTCGACCATGGGATTGAGGATGGTCGCGGCTTGCCGTATGACATTCTGGGGGCCTTTCAGCTCAATCCATGTCTAATCCCGCAACGGCGAACGTACCCGGTAATGATCGGTCAGGACCCCGGGCAAGTACCAAAGAAGGATTCGTTTCTCGGAGTCGATGACCGTGGCGGGCGCGTCCGGGTGTGTGAATGGGATGTCAGGCTGCATGGGAGGGGTCGCAACAGATGCGTCCCAATCGACCGTAACTAGATGGGGACGTTGGTCGCTCCCGAGGAGAGACCGTATGATGGACACAACACTCACTGCGATTGCAGTAGGCCTTCGCAAGCTGCTCGCCCGCACAATTTGCCTGGCGCACAAGGGCAACATTCAGGAAGAGACCCGGAAGGGGACGACGGGGAGGCGTGGCAAGACAGGCCCCGGCCGGATTGCCAGCAAGATGGTATTCGTACATCGCCGTTAGATACGCACAATACTCTTCGGTGATTTCTGCTGTGGTCATGGCTGGGAAAGACAAAGAGAGGGAAGGGTGTGGACGACGAAAGCTATGTGTAAGTTGAGCGAGGGATGCGGAACATCGCCTCGTGGTGTCCGCACCAACTACACGTGTCTGCCCCATGTTCAGCGCTGTGCGGGAAACTGGATGCTTTATCAGATAAGGCCACCTTGGCTATGCCTATCCATGTTTGTATTCCAAAATGTTGCGCTGCGAGAGTTTCCCAATTCATGCATATCGCATCACAGTTGAGGAAAACTCTTCGTTTGTCGGCACCCTTATTTGCCGCTACATGAAGTCCACCGGCCTGTGCATGTGGTTCGCCGGCCGGCGCGTCTGTGTGGTCAGCCGGCCCACGTGGTTCGCCCGCCGGCGCATTCGATTCAACGATCTTGCACAGAGATAGTTGCACGGTTTATGCATGACGTATGACAGCTGGGTGGCACACTTGGTCTGCCTGCATCCTGAAACGACCGATACAGGAGATTCACCGGCCGGCGCGTGTGGTTTACCGGCCGGTGCAGATGGGTCACCCGGCCGGTGCATGAGCCTCACCGGCCGGCGCGTGTGGTTCACCGGCCGGTGCAGGTGGGTCACCCGGCCGGTGCATGAGCCTCACCGGCCGGCGCGTGTGGTTCACCGGCCGGTGCAGGTGGGTCACCCGGCCGGTGCATGAGCCTCACCGGCCGGCGCGTGTGGTTCACCGGCCGGTGCAGGTGGGTCACCCAGCGGGTCCATGAGGTTCACAGGCCGGCACATTGGAATTGCCCACACGGCGGACGTGTTGATCGACCAATCTGGCCCCGTGGAGAGCCAGAGGGACGAGACTTACAGGCGGGAAGATGGGCTTCACCGCGTAGCGCATCTCATGAACTGGATGTCTAATGGCATACACCAGCATGAACAGCTGGAGCAATAGCAGTATCCAGGGACTTTCGAGAACAATATGTCTCAATGGCCCGCTGAGTGAAGATTCCCACAAAATTCTATTTCAGACAAACAAGTGGTGAGACATAGTATGATTGCTCGCATCTGATGTGTCGCCAGCATTATTTCACCAGATCTCACAGTGGCCAAGATGTGCCGAATACGCCGCTGTGTGTAACCACACATGTCTATGTTTGCCACTGCTACTAACCTCTACAGGACCAATTGAGCTCCGGCCGGTCCGTTGACTGCACGTTTGTGGCCCCGGCCGTGCCGTCCTGTGGAAGGGTTCTCGGGCTCCGGCTGCACCGTTAGAGCCGGGGTGTGTCGCGGGCGCTCCGTTTGTTATGAGTGCGGAGGTGACCGGCTGCAACGCCAACAGAGGCGGGGCACATACCCCGGCCGGTCCGATGAGCACCATCAGCCTGCGGCCTGCCTGTTGAGCAATAGGGGCACAGTCTCCGGCCGCAACGCTGACACGCTGCCATTAATGTCACGACCGGAACGTACATACCGTATGTCCCGTGCGACTCTGATGTACGGATCTCCGGCCGCACCGCTGGAGCCCACCGGTCCCAGATGCCGGCCGACCCGCTTAAGACGAGCGCGTTCCGGCCGGACAGCGCCAAAGTTGACATGGTGCAGACGGTCGGTTCGTTGGGAGCGAGAAAATTAAAGATTCGACCGGTCTGATTCAGACGGACAGCATGCGGCCGCCCCGAGGCAACTGTGGAGTTGCTAGTCCGCCCGCTCCGTTGCAAACATAATGTCAAGGTCCCCGGCCGGCCCGCTGTCATCGAGAAGGCCACCGTGGGGAGCACCAATTCAGCCCGCGGAAACATCTGGGAGCGACGATAGACCATGGCCGACCGGACCGTTCCAAGCGTGTCCCTCCCACATCGACCGCTCCGCCTGGGACCAATGCCTGTGATTTCCGGCCGTCCCGTTCGTGGCGTTCGGGCGCCGGCCGCCTCGTCTCCAAGTCAATCTGGCCTGCAACGGCCGCACCGTCCCAAACTTCATGTGTGTCGGACCACCCGACATGTCAACAACAGACACCATCCGGCCGCCCCGATCGCAGCGATACGTTTTTACGCCGGCCGCCACGTTTGCAGGCAGGCCACGCGACCGGCGGCCGGCTAGTTTGCTGCCTCCGACCTGTTCTGAGACTCCGGCCGCCCCGCTACAGACGCAATGGCGAGAACGATATAAAGGCCGGCCGGCCCGTTGGCCGCGTCAGCCGGTAACAACGGTAAACCCGTAGCGGACCAGCGGGATGGGCGGCCGTCTCGTTGACTGCCTCAAACCACTTCTGATGCTCCGGCCGCCCGTTACAGACCCTGCAGCGAGAGTGACATCCAGGCCGGCCGGACCGTTGGTCCGGCAGCCGTTGCTAACGGTAAAGCCGGAGGCCTCCGGCCGGAGGCGGGTCCACCGTTCACAACGGCCGAAATGCACTCCGGCTGTACCGTTAACAGCGAGTTTTTTCACTGAATGGGCTCCCTCAACACTCCCCCGGGGCCGCGACGCGCATGTAAGTAGGTGCTTAAGTAAAGTAGGTAAAGTAAGAGCCTTCGTGAAAATGTCTGCAGGGTTGTCTGCCCCAGGTATGTGAATAATCTTCAACTGCTTACCCCGGATGGCCTCCCGCAACCAATGGTAACGGATGTGCAAGTGTCGCACTCGCGAAAAGTTGGCGGAACGAGTCGCCAAGCTCTCCCCTCCAGCGCTGTCCATCCGGATGACCACAGGTCGCTCTATCGGAACGTAGATCTCGTCCATGAAGTTGGCGACCCACACTCCCGTCTGACCTGCGTGCACAGCGGCGATATACTCAGCTTCGGTAGTCGACAGAGTGACAACCTCCTGGCGACGCGAGCTCCATGAGACCGGCCCTCCAGCCATCATGACTACGTGTCCGTGGGTCGAACGTCCTGTGTCCAAGCAGTCGCCTTGCGACGCGTCTGAGTAAACTGTGGGCTGCAGACCCGATGCGTGGTTGCCGTCGTATGTGATCCCATGGTCTAAAGTGCCTTTGATGTAGCGGAGGACACACTTGAGTGCGTGCCAATGCTCATAGCCCGGGTTCGCCATGAAGCGACTAAGCAGCTGAACAGGGTAAGCGAGGTCGGGTCGAGTTGCGACCGCTAGGTACATGATCGCGCCCAGGGCCTCGCGGTAGGGGATTTTCTCCATCTCCTCTCGCTGCTCGGCGGTCACCGGCTCAGCTGTTTTGGACAACTTGCTTCCTGGCTCGAGTGGCGTACGAACCGGGTTGGACTCCTTCATCCCGAACCTGTCAAGCACTCGTTCGGCATATGCTCGCTGGGACAGGTGCATCGTCTTCTGTGCCCGGTCTCGCTCGATCAGGAGCCTAACATATACTTGAACTCACCTCCCCCGCTGAGCCGGTACCGCACAGCGAGTTCGGATCGTACAGTCGCCAGACCGGCTGCGGTGTCTCCGGCTTCCCCGATGTCGTCTGTGTATGTCGCCGTGATCGCTAGTCCATCGTCATCGAACCTCGCCCGTACGCACTCGTCCGCCCGCGATCGCGAGAAGCCTAGCTCCTGGTACGTCTCATCAAGATGTTTCCACCAGTCGTTACCTGCCTGCATGCATCCATACAGCCCACGTACCATCCTGCAGACGTGCGTGGGAATTCCTTCGACACGTACCCTGCAGGTTGCTCCATATAGATAGCCTCCTCCGGGGACGCATTCAGGTACGCCTTCTCGACGTCATCCTGTGCCATCTCCATGTCCCTGACCACGGCCGTCGCACAGACCAGTCGCAAGGATTCGAACCGCACGACAGAGGCGTGCGTCTCGAAGTAGTCGACCCCGGGTATTTGCTGGAAACCTTTCGCCACCAACCGAGCCTTCGGTTTCCACTTCCCGTCGGCCTCTTTGTCGCCAGCGAACTTACGAGCATACACCCATTTGTTCCCTATGACGTTCATGTCTGGGGTGCGAGGTACGAGTTCCCAGGCGCCGATCTTCGCTAGTCCGCTGATCTCGCTATCCATCGAGGGCGTCCATATTTCCGGCTGCTGCTTTGCCTCCTTATACGTCTCTGGTGTCCGCCCGCCACGATACCATTTGACGCCATCGTCCTGGCCAGCCGAGACTGCTTCGGTGAACATCGCCAGGTATGCGCCTTCGGGACTCTGGTTACGACTCTTCTCCCCCGGTTCATCGTCAGCCCACGGCTCCCCCTTGCTCCGTGCTTCGGCCTCGCGTGCGTCCGACTCGTGCGATTCTCGGAGCTTTTGACTCGGCACAGTGGCCCTCCCAGATCGACGGGGTGCGACCACTTCCCTCGGTGCCTCAATAGGTGCGCTCTCGTCCTCTGGTGCAAGTTCAGGTTCGGGCTTCTCGACTTGGAGCGCCTCGCCAGCCTCGTCCACCGACTCGGGAGCTGGCTGCTCCGCCGCCTCGACCGACACTGTAGTGGGTGCGTCCTGGATCAACGTCCGGTGTCCCGGCCCCTCTTCGAAGATGACGTCCCTGCTCCAGATGATACGTCCGGTTGCCGGGTCCCATAGGCGGTAGTTGGCGTTCTCGGTGTAACCGACCATGATGCA